AAAGAGCTTTTTTTCTGGTTCCTCTGTTGAAGAAAAGTTCACGTAGCCTGTTAGCAAAAATTAAACGACTAGCTAAACATTTTGGGATGCATACTTATTCGGTTTCTTGTCGAGAATTAGCTAAAAAAGATTTATATAAATCTTGTGTGTTTATGAGAACAAAAATTAAGAAAAAGCTATCTTAAAAAAAAAACATCTACCAGTGTTTTTGAGGAAAGCTAATACCAAACAAAGTGTGTTGGAATTTATGTCAGTTTATAAAAAATGGAAAAAATAAAGCAGCGAGCTTAGCGGTTAACTAGCTAGCTTTTTCTTGTTTTTTTCAGCTCATAGCGGCTTCACTGTTTCCCATGATTATGGTTTTAACTTTTTACCATATAATGTGATCCTGGTGTCATGGTTTATGGTACACTTAAGTAACTCTCACAAGAAAAATAGAAGGTAACGGTTTAAAATTTTCAGTTTCCGCTAACTTTGAGGTAGCAGACATTTATTATTATTTCTTTAATGTTCAACAGAACTGATTAATGTCAGTGTGTCTGTGTGAAGAACTGCCCAAGATAAAAGTTTGTGTATTTTTGCTGGCTTGAGAGCATCAAAAATCCCTGCAGAAAAGGAGTTAGTAGCCATATTGGTCAACAGTGAAAAAACATCTGTGCGCTGTCTGTGCTATATTTTCATGGTGTGGGGTCTAACGTAATTACTTATTTTCCTAAGCTTTAAAGTACGGAAGCCTGTTTCTGCCACTGGGAAAAACAAAAACAGACAAACAAACAGTTACTCAAAAGTTTAAATTTCGAGATATGGAGTCTGTAAGTCAAAATTTTGAGATGCGTAATTTCGAAAGTTTGAGATAACCTGAACTTTGATATAATAGCTTAAAATTTTAAATGAGATCTACCTGGCTTTTAGTTTTGTGTGACAGAAACAAGCCTCTGAAGAAAAGAGTTTGGTCATGGTCAGCAAGTTTGAATACAGCTTTTTCATAAACTTAGGTTTTCTTCCGCCTTAACAGTATACTTTTACACTGCCTCAGTAGTCACACATGTATAAATGATTGAATAATCACATTTTCAGCAGGAACATTTTAACCCAGTGAAAATGAAACTGAACTCCTTCACACACAACCTTTCTTAACGTCTTAAATATGAAGTAAAAATAATCAAAATCCCGCCATCACTGTAACTATCAGCAACATGTATGTAAACCTCCTCATGCCCATTTGTGAACCGAGTCTTTATTGTTGTAAATATTGGTACATACTGCCTTTTTTCTGTAAATAGTGCACCCATGGTCCTCAAGTGTTGATATGAATCTAATGGCATATTTTTATATATTTGTGTAAGGTTTGTTTTTCCTGTTTGTATTTTTCTCCCCTTCCCCTCTGGCATGCGCTGTCAGTCATGTTTAAGTTATAACTGTCATAGATCTTACAAAAAAAGAAGGCAAGACGACCTCTGACAGATATTCATGTTTTCACTCCAGAACATGCTGATGTTTGCCTTGTTACAGATGGGACCAGGAAGGTAAAAATAAAAGTAAATAAATAAGAAGCTGCAGTTTTGCACTGCCGCCTGGTCGTAACTCTGTTGGACATGTTGCAGCTGTGGTGATGAATCAGAGTTGCTTCCTGTACGTAGCTGTCCTTGTTTTGTCACTGTGGTTTCCTCTTTGTAATTAAATCAGTTCACTGGCTCCAGTTTGTGCTCGTTTTCAGAAAGTTTGCACTTTACAACAAAGTATGTGTAGTCATGTGTGCACATTGCTCAAGAGTTGTGCGGTGCATTAGACATCATACAAGAGCTGGTTGGAAGGAAAAGTGTGTATTTCCCGACTGGTTTCTGGATGCTGCTGGCAAGTGGTGGATGAAATGAAATCAGCTGCAAAGAAGGTGCTTCACTAAATCTTCCTAGCGATTGCTTTGGTTGCTAGCGAATTGACACAGATGCCTGTAGTTTTTCACATTTCTCTGCAAATACTAATTGCCTATTTAATAAGTACAACTTTTCAAATGATGCAACTTTTACTTGCAAGGCAAATCTGTTTGCAGACAAGTCTGTCAGTTCCAGTTAAATTACTGCAGGAATATGCTAGTGACCAAAGCAACCACAGGGTGGTTTTTGCCAACTGACTGGGGAATACACATTTTTTTGCCTAGCGACAGGTAGTTGTCAGGGTTGATTGGTCTGTAAGCCTCTGTGACTGGGACTTGATCAATTTTTGTCCCAGCAGCTGCCATCAACCTCCACCAACAACCCGCAAGTAGTTGGGGATACTCATTTTGCCCTCAGGATCCGTGGCTGTTAGATGGTTGCAGACCAGTCTACGCCTTCGTGACTTGAGATTTATTCACTTTATCCTACACTGTCACCATGATTATCACACCCCGAAAATGTTGGACAAATTAAGTGCTCAGATGTTTAGAGCCTCATTATGAGGCTCTGTCCATCCGTACACGGGTATTTCGGTAGCTTCATTTTAATGTAGTTTGCCGTTTTGTCAACACTTAAATGTTTAAGTAAATGAAAATGTATATTTAAAAAGAAAAATACCTTTGTTTGCGCTGTTATTGTTTCGCGGTTTCTCATTTTCCAAATCGCCACCTATTTTTTCAGCATGCTCTTGATAAGCACTGATTTAGTATTTTTACGTGGACTGAGGTGTTTTTCAATAAGGTAGTTTTTGACTAACATGGTGATGTGATTCTTGGATGTTTATCCAAATTGCACTTTTTGAAGTTTTCTCCTATGGGGCGATCGTGGCTCAAGAGTTGGGAATTCGCCTTGTAATCGGAAGGTTGCCGGTTCGTGCCCCGGCTTGGGCAGTCTCAGCCGTTGTGTCCTTGGGCAAGACACTTCACCCGTTGCCTACTGGTGGTGGTCAGAGGGCCCGGTGGCGCCAGTGTCCGGCAGCCTCGCCTCTGTCAGTGCGCCCCAGGGTGGCTGTGGCTAAAATGCAGTTGCCATCACCAGTGTGTGAATGTGTGTGTGAATGGGTGGATGACTGGTTGTGTAAAGCACTTTGGGGTCCTTAGGGACTAGTAAAGCGCTATATAAATACAGGCCATTTACCATTTACCATCTATGTTTGATAGGAAAGTAGATAAAACGAGCAGAATACCAGTGTTTGTTTCTTTTGCTCACAGACATTAAATTAGTGGAGTTTTTCTATTGAAACTATGATATAGTGCAAATTGGTGAAAAAAATAATTCTGGCCAATATTCTTCAACAGTACAGAACACAAGTTACTATGTTCAGTACTGTACAGTTGCTACCAAAACACTCACTATGTCCGATTATATTGATTGACAAACAGGCTAATTTCCTTAATTCCTTAAAAGTTCATATACACAACAAAATAATTGTACATACGTACACGTTAATAAGATGACAAATTCGAATTTCCCTTTGTTTCTTCTTTGTTTCTCACATTCATGAATGATACTGAGCTTACCCTCACTGCCTCATGACGACAAACAAAGTAACCCCTGTGATTTTCAGCAGGCTATTGCTACTCAACTGCCTTTTAACCCACTGACCTACAATGATGTGTATTGTGATATGATAGTCCTGCAGTATAATTGAATGCGGGACATTTAGAGCACACACACAAATCCACTTGTCCCTCCCTACTTAATGACGACTTGCACACGTTGCAGCGTCTCCACAGAGTATTCAAATGTACTAAACAGTGAGGATCTGTATGATGACTGAAGGAGTCAGCACAGAGATTTGTCTGTGCTTCCCCAGCATCACTGAGAAATATTGTGAGTCATTGCCTGACACCAACTCAATAGTCCAAGCAGTCAGACGATGGAAATCTACTTCATCGCTAATATCAGATGAAACAATGGCAAAGAGGCAACACATCCGAATACGATTATTCGGAATAATAATCTTGGAATCTGCAGGTGTTTAGAAATTGCTCCAAGAGACCTTCTGAACTTGTAAATCTACAATTCTGCTTCTTAGATCTTCAGAGTTTCTTGGACTGTCCCATTATTCTGAGAGTTTGTCAGGCCAATAACTGCTGTCAAACAAATTACTTTCATGACAGAAAAGAGAAACTACCAGCTGAAGTCAATCATGATCACTAACAAGAAGTTAGGCCTTGTCCTTGTCATGTTAAAACACATTATACACTTATGTATGCTGAGGGCCTGCACTGCACTGAAGCCCTCACTTCATAAAACTAGAAAGATATATGCACATGCACATCCACATCAAGGGGTGGGTGGAGGGGCCTGTTGCTGGGAAGAAAACATGCAGACAGTAAAAAAAGAAACAAAAACACTTGGTCACTGCTGGGCTCCAGTTTTATGTATTTAATGCACCACAAAAATGAAGGTTTCAAGCATATTTGCTTTTCATAAGACACTTTTACACTTAGTGGCTCTGCTACTATTTTGAACCGTGAATCATTCAAAACGACTCCAGGAGAATCCAAGAAAATCTGAAAATGAGCATAATAGGTCCCTTTTAATATTACTTAGCCTGAATTTATTTATAGAACCAGAGGATTACAATAATAATGTGGTATTAAAATATTTTCCTGGGCTAGCTCTGTTGTCTAGGAAATGAAACCTTGTTGGCTTTACGGTGTAATATGGAGTAGATTTAAAGTATTTAAAAAAAAGTCTTGGCAAAAATGTCACAAGAAAAACTTCTAAAATGAGTTAAATATAAAACAATGAAACATTAAGCTTATTCTTTTCATTGTCGGACTATATTAAATTTAGTTTTTAATATGGAACGTTTTTTATTCATCTGTAGTTTAGTGTTTATTTAGCTTTAAACACTCTGGGCCTCCATATTGCGAACTGAATCTGCCAGGCTGTGAGCCACAGGTGGCTGTTGCCTATACTACCGGCAACAGAGGGGGTTTACATGCACACACACACACTGACGGGGGTTTCAGCTTGCAGCAGTGACGCACTGTGAGCTCAGAGTTAGCCAGCTCCGTGTTTATGTGCCACACACACACGCACAGAGGAGCCGGGGAGAGAGAGAGAGGGGGGAACCTCAACACCGGCTTTGTGGTTTTTATCCATTGCCAAGCTTTTTAATTACACCTGCTAATCTAGTCGCCTGTGATCGATGATGCTCGTCTCTGAACACTGATTTTCACTCCGTTTATTCACCAAACCGGTAAGTCAAACAACTTTTTTTCCTCTTTAAAACAAGAGGGGATAACCTGCATGGCTGCTGAAGCCGGTAGTTAAGTTGTGGCAGAATCGTTTGGAGCTTCACTCGCCACTAAGCCGGTGTTGCAGACCAGACCGCTTTTACGCACGGCGGTAACGTTTTCGTGTGACTTAACCGGCACACGACACATACTGGAAGGTTAGAGCCATGCGTTTGGGCGAAAACTTCCGTGCTGTTTAGCTATGAAAGTTTAAAGAAGTACGTTTTTGGTTTGTTTGTTTTTTGATAAAACGGTGCTCTTATATGCGTGTGTGTGTCTGCACAGACTGCGTTTGTATTCATTTTATTTAACATACACATGGACTTCCATAGCGTGTAGCATCTGTAGTGCGTTCATTTAACTTGGCTACTGACTTAAAATTTAGCCTAGCCGCCTTTATCGATCACTAAATAGTTTGAATATTCATATGAACAGTAAAGCAGTCACTAATACTTAATTAAACTAAATGGAATGAATAGACGGTTGTGATACCGCATGTGTAGCGCTTTGTAACGGCAGGATGAGCGCATGCTTCACGTACTGTAATGGGTGCGTGATGACCTCACTGATGGTGTGATCCACCTACTCGCTTTTTAACGAAGTTCTTGCTCTGATTTATTCGCATATGTTTTTCCTATTAGGTTTAAAGTCTTATAGCAGCCAATTAAGTCAATTAAATCTCGCACAAACTATTCTGCCGAGAAGCGGAGAAGCTGCAAACACGTCAAGTTGGTTCAATTACCGCGTTCAGACAGTTTCACTTTTGCAGCGTGTGCTCCAGTAACTGCTCATTTCAAACCGTGCCTTAGCGCCATCACATACAACACCATACTTGAGTGGTTTTGGCAGGATATACTGCTGCGTAAGGAGCACACCGCAATAGGAGCCAGCTCCCCTGATTACACACACACAAATGCGCAAGCCCCGAGATGAGACTGTCATCTTTGGCAGAGGGCTTCCTTTGTCTGAATCCCAAATTCCAGCACGCTTGTATCAATAACAGGGTTTGAACTTTACTCACTCACATGCGCTTTTCACCAGAAGAGGGCCACGTTCGGCTTCCCCAGTCCCGGTGTTTTTACAGCGCAGTCGTTTTAGGGAGTTTTTTCTTAACTGAATGTGTGCAAAATTTATTCATCTGACGTGATGTTTCGGGAAGACAGACTTCCTGCTTCCTGTCATGTACTTTCACAGCTCATTGTGAAAGACCGTGCAGCAGAGTGGGGTGATGAAATCCCTCCAGTGGTTTACTGGTTTGGGTTAAACAGCCTTTTAATGAGTGCGGTGGTATTAAATATTTAAGTATATTTCCCATACAGTGGCTCAGCCACTAATAAAATATGTATGAAGATAAAATGAAGCTGATTGGAAGAAGAAAGTAGAGGGTTTAAAAATGGAAGTAAATCCTTCTGCCTGAACTCGTCTGAACTGCGTAACCAACTGTTGGACCATGTTTCAGTGGATGCTGCTTTTTGGGAGACTGCAGTGTATGTGGATCATTAGGTGTATTTTTTTTGAGTGAGAGTTCAGGGAGTGATGTAATGTGTTAAAAGTTTTTTAACATTTGAGAATTTACATTAAAAAATATTATTTTCTCTTTGTAGCTTGTCTGGCAGATTTTGGAGTCAGAATTGTGACTGCAAAGAGGAGCATCTACAGGCTGTTTCTTGTTTATTTATTCATTTTATTATGATTATTTATGCCATTACACCTTAGTGATGTGCAGTTTGTTTTTTTCTGTCGGTTTTGACAGCTAAGGCATTCCTCAAAAGCGTTTACACAGGCTTAAACTTTTGGGTATTACCCTGGTTTAAACAAACATGCATGTCTCTCACATATGTTTCTTCTTTGGCTTGATTATTGTAAGTTTAGGCAATCTGATGCATTGCAACTTTTTACCATGTTTTGTGCTCAGCTGGTGTTCCAGTTAAATGCATGCTCTCCTTAATTAGGAGTTGGTGCAGTTATCATGAACTAAGTGTAACTCCCATTTTACCTCTCCACCCACCCAGCATTTACTGTGTGCTGTACTCATGAGAATGAGAAAGAGGCAAATGGAAAAGGCGAGATTGATTGAAAACAGGCAGATAAAAGTATATGTTCACTGCAGCCTGGAGCAGATAAGAAGCCTGAGATTTACTTGTATTGCAGTGATGTACTGCTTCACCTCTGAGCGTGTGTGAGTGCATGTGGGAGTCAAAGCCTAAGCTTCAATTAACCTGTCAATCGCATCATCTGTCTGTCCATCTGTCCAACCAGAGTGGTTGGGAGTGCCGCCCGGCCCTCTTCCGCCCTCGTGCCACAGCTGCCTGCATGCCTCCCCAATGTCAGCCAGGAAACTCACTGCCAATGAAATTCCCACTGCACAAACCGCAGATCCCAATCCAAGCCGGTTCAGCATACACACACACACACACACACACACACACACACACACACACACACACACACACACACACACTAGTGGAGGATTGCATAATTACAGACAGAAAGACCTGGAAAGATGCTGGCATGAGCAAAAGTGCTCGCCTCCTCACACATATACGCCCTTCGTTTGTTTTAGATTAAGACAGCAAACTGCAAGTCACGCTGCACAGAGTTTCCGTCTGTCAGGCTCATTCATTTGACAGTCTGGTTATGGAAGAGTGTCACTTCCCGGATGTCTCGTTTCTTTGTTATCTCAAGTTTACAAAAGTCTGCTGTGGTTTCAGCTGCATTCTCGCCCTGCGTACCCCAATGACCTCTCCCCTCTCGGTCTTCTGTATCCCCTGTCGCTGCCTACTGTATGCTGTTTAATGACACAGGTTTAAAAATAAGCTCTGAGAAAACAGGAAGAAAGGGACTGCAGATTTTTTTTGCTGCTCCACAGACGCTGTGAGAGGCAAGATAAATCTAAAAGCAACCACAAGCTAGCTGAACTCGCCAGTAACCAGTCGCTGGCTTTGCACTGCCAGAGCAAATCACACATCAACATGTCCGGGTCGATGTCTTTGTGACGAGACACGAGCTAGTGGCTGTGTGAGTGTTGTTCGCGTGTGTCTTATGTGAGAAGTGCTACAAGCATGCCCAATTTAAATACAACCGCTGAGTAATGACAAAGTAGTATTCAAAGCAGGAATTTTATGGTCTGCTGCAGCACTTTTACAGAGGTATTAATACAGGATATTGTGAAATTATGCTATAATTCAGATCTGCTGCAACATAGAAATTTATAAGACACTGTTGTGTATGTGCACAAATATGTGCGAGTTATTCATGCCATTGTAAGAGAAGGGCTGGTGAAAATTCACTGCTCTTACTCTGTCTCAGAGTCTCTGCACTGCAGTAGACCTACATCAAACTCAGCCAGAATAATTCTGCCAGAACTGCTTTTTGTGAACTGAATAAATTCTGACATTGCTATAACGATGAGTATATTTTTATTAGCATGCATTAATAATACAATTAGCTTTCCAGTATTTTACAAAGTTCCATCCATCCATCCATCCATCCATCCATCTTCATCCGCTTTATCCGAGGCCGGGTCGCGGGGGCAGCAGCCTAAGCAAAGAGGCTCAGACCTCCCTCTCCCCAGCCACCTCCTCCAGCTTATCCGGGGGAATACCAAGGCGTTCCCAGGCCAGCCGAGAGATATAATCTCTCCAGCGTGTCCTGGGTCTGCCCCGGGGCCTCCTCCCGGTGGGACATGCCTGGAACACCTCACCCAGGAGGCGCCCAGGGGGCATCCTTGTCAGATGCCCGAACCACCTCAGCTGGCTCCTTTCGATGTGGAGGAGCAGCTGCTCTACTCTGAGCCCCTCCCGGATGGCCGAACTTCTCACCCTGTCTCTAAGGGAGAGGCCAGCCACCCTTCGGAGGAAGCTCATTTCTGCCGCTTGTATCCGCGATCTCGTTCTTTCGGTCACTACCCACAGCTCGTGGCCACAGGTGAGGGTAGGGACGTAGATCGACCGGTAAATTGAGAGCTTCGCTTTTACACTCAGCTCCCTCTTCACCACGACGGACCGGTGCAGCGTCCGCATTACTGCAGCTGCAGCCCCAATCCGTCTGTCGATCTCCGGCTCCCTTCTCCCATCACTTGCGAACAAGATTTTACAAAGTTACAAACATGAAAACATCAGTTGACTCTGCATCACCATCGGCTCGGTTGTGATGCGACTTTGATGTACATTACATAGACAGGGCTGAAAATACTGTAATCAATAGAGGTGGAAACTAGAGTACACTCACCGTAAACTTCATTAGTTACTTAGTATCTTGCTATTACCAGGCTGGACCTACTTTTGCCTTCAGAGCGGTCTAAATGTTTTTTGGCATAGATTCAAGAAGGTGCTGGAAACTTTTCTCAGAGCTTTTGGTCCATGTTGATGGGATAGCATCACGTAGTTGGTGCAGATTTGCCAGCTGCACATCCAAGATGTGAATCCTCTGCTCCACCACATCCCAAAGTTGCTCTATTGGATTGATATCTGGTGACTGTGGAGCCAGTTTGAGTACAGTGAACTGACTGTCATGTACAAGAAACCACTTTGAGATGATTTGAGCTTTGTGACATGGTGTGTTAGCCTGTTGGAAGCAGCCAGCAGATGATGGGTACGCAGTAAAGGTCACCATCAGCAACTTGAATTGCTGATATAAGGCAGGATGGATCCATGCTTTTCATGTCCCCGCAAAAATCAAGACTCATCCGACCAGGCAGCGTTTTTCCAATTTTTGTCCAGTGTTGGTGAGCCCATGTGAGCTGTTGCTTCAGATTTGTGTTCTCAGCTTACAGGAGTGGCACTCGGTGTCTTCTGCTGTAGCCCATCTGCTTCAAGGTGTGATGTGTTGTGTGTTCAGGGATTCTCTTCTGCATACCTTGGTTGTAACAACCATCCATCAACAATGGGTTTTTACCCACTCTCTTTTTCGGACCATACTCGGTAAACTTTCAGTTTCATTATTTATATGGCCCCAAACCACA